GCTAAAAGCCCGTATAATCATGAGGAATTCGTTCATGAAGCAATCATAATAAGCTTTTACGTTGAAGACTTCAATATTATCTAAAAATCACTGGAATTCTCTCAGAAATGCATGGCAACCACATGCTGCATGAGTTCGCCCTCCAGCTAATTCGACTACCGAGAAAAAAATCAATGTCTAAAATGCTCCATATGTGATGCCTACTAAAACACGCTAAAGAAATCTAAATCTGAAAAGCTTTAACCAAATTAGATCACTTGAATAACGAGTAACAGCCCGCATACACACATACACACGCACGGCACACGTACACACATATGCACACACTCAAATATCTATATATACACGGCACACACACATTCATGAACTAGATGCTTATTGCCCCATAAGATCTGATCTACATAAGGATCCAGTGCGCCTCTCAGACACTGTCTTATCAACTCTAACTGTCTTTGTCTGATTCATAATATTTCAACTCTTGTTTACAGCCTTTTATAATGACAGCGCAAGATATGATAAAACCGCGAATATGTTAAGATATGAGCAAATCACAAAATCTATCATGCGCTTTGAAAAAGCGATTACTCTGATCGTCGGCTTACGTGCTAGCCACCACACCAATCTAGGATCTTTCGTCTCCTTTTCTCTGAGCTATGTTTCGACTCTTGCATTGTTAGAAGCAATGACAAGTCAGCAAAAATGATCACCTGTCACCTGTCATCCCGTTGATCGTCGAGTGACTCGAGCGCGTACCAGCAACCTTTCCATTTTTCCCTATCGCCTGCAAGAGTAGCCTAGTGGATTCTCCTCGCTCTAGAGTTCGCTGAGCATCCTAATTTTCTTCTATACCTTTCATAAAGAAATCGGACCAACGGGTCGGTGGTCTTCCTGTAGAGTGCATATATCGAGAAATCCAGTCGGTAACGGCTCGCGGAGCCTCTGATCTTCGATCGTTAACGTAAGTCGGAAACTTCAGTCTTTTCTCTTATATGCGAGATGCGGGATACTTCTAGCATCGACCTTTCGACTGCGCGTTCAATAACGCCAAGTGATCTTTCATCCTGCTTATGTGGCGACCAGGTTTCTGCTGCATACGATAGGGCAGGGATAATCGTCGAGTCGAAAATGTGGGCACAGAGCCCGATGTCCTTTGTTCTCTTCACTACATCTTCGATGCTCTCAAACAATCCCCAAGCCGCTCGTTTCCCCCTGCTCAGCTCTAAAGCTAGGTCGTTCATCATGTTGATTTCACGATCTAGATAGACGTAACTAGAGCTTCCGAAGTTTTGTTCCGTTGAGCGTGAATGGGGATCAAAAACCATCCGTTCTTCACATCCTTTTCGTTAGATTCAGTTGAAGACCAATCTTTCCACAAGCGTTGTCGAAGTCGGTGAACATTTGTTCCATTTGGCTGATGCTTGGTATTATGAGAACATTATCATCAGCAAAGCGAATATGATTTAATTTTCGGCCGTCAATTCTCACTCCCATATCGTCTCATTCTACTGTTCGCATGACGTTTTGGAGGGTGGAAGTGTATAATTTAGGCGAAATCGTATCACCTTGTCTAACCGCTCTTTTTACGTTAATGCTGATATTCTTGAAGAATGGAGATATTTTGTTGGTGAAATCTTTATACAACTCACGAAGGATCATTATGTGCCGAGTAGGAACACGCCCTTATCCAGAGCTTCTACAACCACTTCCGTTTCCACTGAATCATAGGCCTTTTTCAGATCGATAAAAGTGAGACAAAGTTGTTGTTTGTACATTCGTGAAACTTCAATGAGTTTTGTGATTGTTTGGATGTGGTCTACGGTACTGAGTCTTTCTCGGAACCCTGCTTGTTCGCATGGCTGCCCTTCCTCTAGTGTTATGTCATTCCTGTTTAGGATGACTCGAGTTAAGAGTTTACAGACAACCAACAGCAAGCAGACTGGGCGATAACTGCCTTTGTCGTAAAGGTCGCCCTATTTGAACAACAGCACGGCCTTGTGGTCACCCATTGAATGGGAACCTTATATTCTGACAGGTAGCGAGTGGAGAGCCGAGCCAAGGTGTTGATGATAGGTTTTTCAGGTGTTCTGGTCCAATAATGTCTAACCCCGGTGTTGTTCTGTTCTTCGCCGACGATATAGCATGTCGGATTTCGGAAGGGAGGACGGGTGGAACGGCAAATTCATTCTCTTTCAATAAATATGACAGTAAGAGGACATGGCTAGCGAAGAGACCCGAGTAGTACTGGTGGATGATTTTCTCCATTGCCCTCCTAGAAGCTGTAAGTGTCCTGTCAGGGCGTCAGAGTGCAATCATCTTGGTCTTATAATTCGCGAAGCCTCGCTGCGCTTTGCAAATTCTCTTCCCAGCTTCCGCCATAACTGCTGCTTGAAAAATGATATGATGAGTAAATAAGAATGAACAATAAACGGAAGTTGACATTACAATTTAGATTGTAATTTATCTTGGAGTTTGATGGAGATTTTCGATTGCTAGGCCACTTCCGTGGAAGGGTTTATAGCACCGACTAAATTTGAAAATGTTTGATGTATAGATAATACGAGGGTCCCGGCTATCGTGTTATAATGTGGTGGATAGTACTTGAGTCTACAGTAAAAGTGATCGCGTATTCAAGGCTCAGCAGAGGTGTCCAGTTTTATTCACATCTCGTCACCCTCATAGTTCCAGTACCTGAATATATGCCGGAAATGAATCTCCTTTCTATCTCGTAGTTAAATAACGTTGCTCAAGAATTCTTTTTTTTTCACAGCAGTCATTAGCATTTCATTAGCGAAAACCACTTTCCTGATTGAAAGTGATCTATGGCCTACGTTTTCAATTTATCTGAAATGAAGCATTACCATAAGCATTCTCGACGTCAATACCATCCAATGGTCAATTACTTAAACCGATAGAGAAGCTGGTTTGACATTGAAACTTTCAAGTTAAAACTCTTGTATCAAATTCAAAAAAGAACTCCTCTTCATGTCAATATACTTGAGGTGGTATAAGTCGTCTAAAGCGTGGATTACGGACAGCTTTCAGCGCTTTCAGTAAAGGATCATTTGATCAGGCATTTCGATTTGCTAAAGCAAAAGTTGGATTACGTGGTGTGAGTTTCGTTTATTACTGAAAGCTCGATGAGCAGAGCGTTTCATTCCATTTTATTTCAGAAAGGCACTTTGTACGACTACCAAGATTCGTATTTGGGACGGTAAGAAGAATGTCTTGAAATTGTAGTCCAAATTCTACTTTTTGTTTTTTTTTTCTCAACACTCTACGACGAGTGACACCTATAGGTTCCATAACAATCCATAACCTGCCAGATAATCATTTTTTTTCTGAGCCACGCATGCGATCTGTCATGTAAAGGTTGACTTATAGAGCCCGATACAGGCATGATATATGAACGATACCACCCAACAGCAATCGAGTGTAGAACATTATTTGTTCAGTGATAATTTTACTGGACTTACAGTGTAAAATTTTTGTCCTCTCCACCTCTCAGTATAGGGGACTGAGCGTCCCGAGAGCATTGGCTAAGGACGAAAAGGGTACCGTCCGACTGATGAGACCGCCAAGGTTGAAACACGTGTATCGAGCTCTTTAAGCCAGTCCTTATATAACAGACCACACGCGTGGCTCAAAAAATGATTACCTGGCATGTTGAACTTTGAGCGTGGTTTTAAGAAAACACTCGAAGCGAAAGGTATAAATCCATAACCTATCCAAGGGAGATGCTATGACTGTGACGGACTTCATTAGTGGAGGAGTGGGACATGGGAATGATGATGTGTTATCAATAATGTCTCATTTCCGGTTTCCGGCAAAAGGCTATTGTTGTTCAAGGAAGTGACAAGTGAGGAGACACAACAGTCCTCTGTCTTTATGACCTGGAAGGATGTAGCATCGTTTTTTATAAGCAACTCGCTGTTCTCCACTTATCTGTAGCCATGACTGCTTATCGATATTGCTTAGAATGAGGAGATTTTATGGATGAGGGACAAAGACTGTGATATTCCTTGCACAACTTACAAAGCTTCGCTAAATGGTGACAGTACATGATTGCAAAAAGGAAGAATTGTTTTTCTTAGCGGACAAGAGTTGTGTTTGCACTAAAAACATGGTAGACCATATAGAAGGGCATGGAAAACATATGGGATAGGAGAACTGTGGAAGCGTTTTGAAAACGCAGGAAAACGAATTTTCGCAACGGAAAAAAGACTTAAATAGCGCAGCTACATAGGAACTGCTGAAGTGGCCAGTGTGTGATATTATAGATGTCACAGTGAACACAGCGATGAATTGGACCTTGGCCATTACGAGACAAAACCATACTTTGGTGTTCTCATGGGGTGTTGTGAATTAGACGTAGATACTTATACTTGATCTTCTTCTTCGTATTGGCAAGTGAGCCCAGAATTTGATCCTGAAATAGGAAAACTTAGCTTTTGCTTTGTTTCTCCATTAATTTGACAATCAGTTTTCTGCGATTCTAGTGGTCCAGAGGAAGAAGACGAAGAAGAAGAAGAGGACGAAGACATAGAAGCTTTGGAAGACAGATCGCATCGACCCGACCTTGTTCTTATTACCACGAATAAGACGAATGAAGGACGTATTCACAACGAGGCTCGTGATTTTGTTTTCCTTATTATAGGGATATTCCTCAAACAAGAAAATTCCAAAAATCCATCTGGAAAATTTGTATGAGAAGAAGAAGTTCAATAAAGTAGCATACCGGATATCATAACGAACGGTTAGTGTGTTGAGATGTCGGAGTATGATGTAGAGTGTAAGGTTCAGGGGCTAGTCAGGCTAAAATGAACTCGACGTTTTCCATCGGATCCAAATGCCGGTAGATTGTACAGAGTGCGATAAAAGTTCTGTCAATTTGGTTTTTTTCAGAACACAGCATTGAACAGAAATCATTATGTTTGATCGCCATTTGCAGTGGTGTAATGTTACAATATACCCAATAATGTAGAGTGGTGTGCAAAAACGCTTGAGTCAGCTGGGATTCGAACTCAGATCTCGTTCTTTCCGGGAGAGCATGCTGAACCATTGCACTACAAATCCACACCACTCTTTCGCGTTAGTATTGATATAATGGTTTTTTTAACAATCTGCATAATTTTGTTGAATTCTTGGCGTAATTTTGGTCAAACCTAATTAATTTATTTGTCTGTTTTCACTTCAGCTAAACTTATATCGTAAGATGAACATATCGCTGTAGTTGAGCTAGTTGCAAGATGGTAATGAAAACGGCCGAGTGCCAAAATCGACTGATTCTAAACCACAAAGTATCGACAGAGCCGTCAAACGTTTCAGAAAGAATGGAGAGATTGAAGATCGCCCTCGAAAGGGCGTTCAATCAGCTCAGCTACGTTGAAAAACATTCAGAAGGTCCGTTGCCACATTCAACGAAATTTGGAACATTCGATGCGCAAAATGGTTAGGAAAGCTCGGGGACAGCGAGTGAAGCGCCCGAAGTATTATCAAAAACAAGCTGAAGCTGCGCGGCTACAAGATCGCTCGTGTTCACTTTATGGACAAGAAAATGAAGGAAGAACGGCTTTCAACAGCTCGCCGAATGATTCATCTGATAGCTGGTTCTCGTTTGTCGAAGTTGCTTTATACGCATTACAAGACATTGGTCGAGCCACACCACAATCGCCATCATCAAAGTCAATTTTCCTAGAAAAGCCAACGGAAGTTCGCAGTAGCAGGAACTATGGGTCGCAATGGTGTTCCGGCCTCTGTGATGGTCTGGGCCGGCATGTGCACCGCTGGAAAGACGTCGATAGTCCACGTCATTGGTCCCCATCACCGAAAACCTCAAAATCAGCACTGCTTGCTATCAGCAGCAAGTTTCACGTAGAGTAATGGAGCCTTGTAGTACTCAACTCTTTGGCGCCAACGGATTTGCGCTGCAGCACGACTGAACTCCTGCGCATTCGGCCTGCTCAGTGATTGTAATTTGTCAAGAGCAGTTTACAGGCCCTCGATGCAGGAACATTTGGCTGTCAAACCTGCCAGATATCAACTCAACAGATTGCACAGTGTGGTGCACACTGAAAGAAAAGTCTTAGATGATTGCTGCATCACTGTAGATGCCTGCAGAATGGTTTTGACTTGCGCTTGGTACGAAATTATAGTCGGAACGTGTGCGAGTGTCGTTGGAAATTTTTGCAAACGAGTTCGTAAATGTTTAGAGGCCGAAGCAGGCAGTTTTGAGAATTTATTATGAAAGTTTTTGCATATTGCTATAGTTGTTGATCTAATAAACGTAATTATTCCTTCAATCAAACAAATTTATTTGTTTATGCAGTATTTTATTACTGTTGAAATATCTGAAAAACTTGACGAAACTTTTCTCGCACCCTGTAGACAACTGCGAGATAAAGGTGAAATCGTGGCTACCTTTATCGCTAAATACACATGAAAAAGAAATGCCCTATCAAAAGTGTGTCTTTCGGCGTAGCCTTCGGGCGAACGAGACACATTGGGAGGCTGCGGTGTGTAATGGAGATAAATGAAATTCAATAGTAGATGATTCAATCAGTCCGTAGGCGATAGCGTCCAATTATATGTCACTAATGGGATGGCCAGTTCCTTAACAGTAATGAATTTCCGTCGATAACTAAGGGATTTAAATGTTGAGAGTACGGTAGTATGAAGAAGAGATATTGATCTATCGCTCTGAAGGATACACTGTGTTTATGCTCCTGAATTCTGTATCAAAATGTCCACCATATAATTCTATTGCTGTCAACATTTGGAGCTGTTTTGCTGCCTATATGAGCGTGATTCTGCATTTTGTGCCTGCTGTGCTTGTGCAGTAGTCAGGATTAATCACAACAATCGGGATTGAAGTGGTAACTTATTATCGATCAAACAGAGGTCAGTCAATTCGCCCTAAAAAAGGTGTATTACAAATCAAATGCAAAGAATGCCTTTTCAAAGAACTGACGGCGGCGGATACTACATCTGCGAAATGATCAGAAAAACTATAGAAAAAAGGATCAATCAAGATTGAAGGAGCTAAAATTAATTGCCAGAAGCTATATAGGACCTCCATGAATCTTATTTCGGAATGCGCACGTACGACTCCTGTAGAGGTCAAGTCGTCGTTTGTGCATAAGCAGTTTCTCAATCGGTGCAAGTTGTGAATATATATATATATATATATATATATATATATATATATATATATATATGAGAAAACAGTATTACACAGGACAATCGATTAATAAGTATTACTGCCCAGAACACCAATATTTAGAGGAATGTATGAGTAAGTAGAAAACATTGTTAATATTCAAGTGATCCAAGTTATCGGAGCACTGACCATTGTAAACTTTGTTATTTTTCAGAAAGGGCAACCATTTTGGAAAGATAAAGCGTTCAGAAAAGGAGTACCTAAATTCCAAAGAAAGCCGCTGTCCTCCTTGTTATTTCAGCTCGCCGAAAAAAAGATAAAATTGGCAGATCCAGTGGCTCCACCGTAAGAAAATGTTACTGGTTTTATGGATTCAAATTCGTTTTTCTATAAAAGAAGAAATGTAGAATGAATATCTTCGAATGTCTTTTATCTGAAAAGTGAGAAAGCACGTACCCGGTTTTGATAATAACTACCAACTGTCGGTCATTCGAAAAATCATGGTGAACATCTTCGTCTGACAGATGCGTTTCGTATGGCAAGGCACTTTTAGTCACAATGTTTTAAGACGAACTGGCGGACTCTGGAAAATCGCATACCAGTGATGGTAGTGTTAAGTACTTCATTTAGTTTGGTTTTCAAATATAGCGTACATGTAAAGATTGTTCTGGTCCAATCCCAAGCCTCAGACTGGCCATGATCTCTATCCATTCGACTTCCGGTGGGTAAATAGACTATGAGACTAGTTGAGAGGGCAGCAGCACTAATTTGATGCGTCGGTGGGACCATCGTGATTAACTGCACTGCACTAGAGAGTCGGGGAAAGAAAGCTCTAACGGTTCTAAACCTCTGAATCTCATTGCAACCATCCCACAATGCTTCAACTTAAAGTTTATTGCTAATGATAGAATACATGATATGTGAAAATAATCTTGAATTTCAGAGAAAATATTGACGGCTTAGATGATTTGGTCGATATGAAAGAACGGGACATCTTACACTTTAGCGACGAACTTCTGATCAGCAACACTGTCCGTTCCATTATCGGCACTCTCGACGGTTTAGATGAATATGCTAACAAAGAAGCAAGTTACCTTATTAGATTTACCACTGACCTTGCAAGGTTGGAGCTAACAAATGACTTTTTTAATTTAGCTGCAAAAAATTCGGCGACTTGAAGTGGTGGAGCCCAAAACGGCAATTGGTTATTCAAGGCTTGTGATATTTTATAGAGTTCAGGACAATGAAAGCATCGTAGTTGAGAAGATATTTTCCATTTTCAGACATCACCCAGACAATAATCAAGTGATGCCTTATGTTTTACTCCGGGATGGGAATATGTAAATCAAAGGCGAAAAAATCAAAGAAGTTTCCATCGTCATCACTGAGCCTTAGTACTAACAGCTCATCCATTAGTGATCAAGATTATTCAGCTAAGAAGAAGAGGAAAAAGGACAAGAAAGGCAAAGATGGAAAAAATGGTAAAAATGGTCAATCATATACAGATCATACAGAGGATACTAAAACTGAGGGTACTACAAGAGGACTGGTAAGCCTACAAAAGAATCCAGATCAGTGTCTGTTCTCTTGGCAATCATTCTTTTTTCCAGGATATGTTCAAAGTGAAGGCAAGGAAAAAAACCTCTAAGAATCGTTAGCACTGATGATTAAAAAAAATATATGCGATTAAGTATGACAAAACGAAACGGATATAAATGTTCGGTTATCTTAGACAATCTATCAAGACACTATAATACACTATAATAAAGAATACACCTCTATTCAGAATCAAATTACTTTCTTAAAGTTGTCCGTGTAGATTGTTTGTGCTAGAAAAAATCGATACCGAAGATGAATAATCTTTTTTAAGAATCAAGGAACGACGAACTGCAGGCTGTACACTTACGCCTCTCTATTCATACATGCTGCCTAGAGGAGTCGAACTTTCTCTGATATACTAACGTTGGAAACGTGATAACATGTTCTGACTTTTGCTAACTATTTCAATTTTTTGATATACCCAATGATATAGAGTGATGTACAGATTTTATCCGTCACACGGGGCTTGAACTCTCATCTCATTTTCTGCCCGAGAGCACGTGCTCTAACCCATTACACTACTGACGCCAGGTTGCCACCACTTTTTCTATGCAAAGCATCATCTGTCAGCAACCAACCGTCAACGGTTTCCCAGGTAGTCAGCATCGGCATTGAATCGAATCACGCTGACACATAGTGGGTATTGGATGATCAAGAAAGACTTCTTTTCATTCAACCGCTTTAGATTTGGTATAAATGTTATAGATATACTCAGTGAAGTAGAGTGTAGTGCAAAACTTTTGATTCAAGCGGAACTCGATCCCGTAATTTACTCTGTCCGAGAGCGCGTGTTCTATCCTGGTGCACTACTGACACCCGTTATGCCGCCACGCTTTCTACGTTATGTTAATTCTAATCCTTATGATTTTTTACTGAAAGTCGTAGTCATCCTCAACCTTCACGCGACAACGTAACCTTTGTAATAGTGGGAGAATGTGAAAGGGATGGCTACTTCCAGTATAAGTGCACATTGCTCAAATCATAGAAAATTTCTTTTCAGTAATAAATACTTTTGTGATTTAAAATCCTCGACTATAGTGCAAAATTCTTGCTTTGCTGTGGCGAGATTCTGATTACTGGAGTTGATGCTATACATTTCTCCCACCTTGATCTGTAACGATTCAAATTTCTATTGTTTCAACTGCTTTTTTAGCAGTGCTATGATGTTTCATATATAACCTGAGAGAATTGAGTGAGTGAGCAAAAACATGGCCTCAGCTGGGAGTCGAACATCATAACACTGCGATAAAGGCAGTAAAAACAATAGAAATTTGTATTAATACTTATCACAATAGCTGTCAGCTCGACTGGGTTTATA